TATCTTGTCTTTTTTCACCTAGTTAACGTTTTTTTTTTTTTATTATTCATTCATATTATTTAACTAATCTCACTCCCCCCTCAAATGGAACTATGTGTTTACATAAATGGAGACCAAACCGTTTGAGACCCACAGAGATAACTTAGACAAAGTTAACTATCTAAACACTCAAGAGAGTCCTTTACCTCACCTGAGCTGTAGTTATCAGTCTCTCAGTCTGACTGGAGAGGACTCTCCTCCACCTTGTTGTTGAAACAGCTCCTTATATCGGTTAGCGCAGCTAGCTAGCACCAGATGCTAACAGCAACAATACAGTAACCGGTGCGCGCGCTCTCTCGCTCGCTCCCGAGCTTGAATGACACACAGAGACCAATCGAGGGCTTTAGTGTATGATCTGTATGAAAGTGGCCATGTCGGCGGGCCACATCATGTAGACAGCCAGTCACCCTCTGTGAGGCAAGACCCCCATTTGCGCAGCGTTGCGTTCACTATACATAGGCTACATTACAAAAAGAATCCTCAGGCCAGCAGGCCACTTAACAGGCCAGGCCATCGGGAAACCTCCCGGTCCTCCCGATGGCCAGTCCGGGCCTGCTTGATAGAATACATGGCCATTGCACTGAATGAGAGCGTACCTTTGGACTGACAGTTTGATCAACCAATCATATATTGATTTATAGCCAATGGGCGTATTCTTTCAGAGTTTCCCTCGATTCCAGGGTAGGCTACTCTCTAGAAGATGGCCCGCTAGTTAACTGGCTCGAGATAGAGGATCTAAATCAGGGGTGTCAAACTCAAATACACAGTTGGCCAAAATAAAAAAATCGGTACTAGTCGAGCGCCGGACTCAGGGGCGCCGTAAGGGGGTGAAAAGTTAGGACGATTCTAAAGGCCCGTGACTGACAGGGGCCCCAAAATGTTCAGAACATTAAGAAAAAAAATGTAAGTAACCTTTCATCAATCCTCAATAATTAACATTAATAGAACGTTATATTCAGGGGTGCACATAACTTTTTTGCCCTGGTTCTCAAAGGAGCACCTGGAGATGTTGCTTGGTGCTCATCCTTAAAATGAAATAAACCGTAACTTTTGAGGGGGGTCTTGACTTTATTTGCCAGACACACGGCACTGAACACACATGCAGAGGTGAACACAGAACACACATGCAGAGGTGAACACAAGACAACATTAGCACGAGCAGTAATCCTACAAGCTGTCATCACTACCCTCCTGACTGTTCTCCTCACTGTCTTCCTCTCTGTCAGACATGGTAGCTGATGATGTAGGCCTACTTCTTTCTCTCTGGTTGAGTCTGCGATTAGCTGCTTGCATCCACAAGTCAACAGCTGGGTTTGGGTCGAAAGTCTCTGTTGTCATCTTAGACAAGTGGATGTAATCAAATAAGTATGTGAATATAACCAATAACCTACCATAGCCAATAACAAATGAATGTAACTTATTTTATTTGTGTTGTTCATTCATATCTTATTTTACCTTAACATTTATTTATGCATTTGTTTTTATCTCTCCAGTTTTAAAGGATATTTTTGGTTACTGTCCTATAGTACATTGGAATGATTTAAAACCTGTTTATCCCAATAATTATAAAGGAGTGCCTTGGAAATATGTGTTTACATAAATTGCGACCAAACCGTTTGAATTTAGACTTTACCTCACTGAGCTGTAGTTATCAGTCTGAATGGAGAGGACTCTCCCTCCACATTATTGTAGAAACATATTCTTCTTATATCCGTTAGAGCAGCTAGCACGGCACCAGATTCTAATAACAACAGCGCTGGTACCGGTGCACCCTCCCTCGCTCACTCGCATTTTGGCTATGAGCTGCGGGCGCCAGATAAACCAACATCCCCCATTTTCATCACTTACAGCGCCCATCGTACAGGGCAAATGAAACGTGTAACCGGGGTGAAAAGGGTGTTACATTTATTGTTACATCAAGGCCGAAAATTAGGATGAGCCCCAACGGTCAAAATGTTTTTTTCCCTCCCAGAACTGCCAGCGCAGCGCCTCCACAGATCTGGCGCCCTAGGCGAACATCTAGCCAGGGCTACGGGCCGACCCTGAGTTCATATCATGGTTCATACATGTATGCAACTCGCAAATATCTTTCTCTCTCTCTCTCTTCTCTCTCTCTCATCTCTCCTCTCTCCTCTATTTTCTCTTTTCTCTTCTCCCTTCTCTCTCTCCCTCTCTCAATGTTGGTACGCAAATGCGCTTTGTTTCAAATGACCCGGTGCTCTTTTTTTGGCGGAGGTGCGCATGCGCACCTGCGCACCAGTTATGTGCAGCCCTGGTTATATTGATAAATTACTCACTAAACTTACGATTCATTTAACTTATTTTCTTCCAAAAGTTAATTACCCAAAGCCTCTGTAGACCCCCTTCTATTTACATGTAATGGTTTGGTCCTGCCTCCAAACGCGGTGCGGCACCGGCACTTGCAGAGAGTGAAAGCATGTGAGGAGGGATGCTAGTACTTAGCCTACATACGTGTGTTATACCATGTTTCAACGACCAACAAAGTCAGGCTCTAAGAAAAGAAGAGAAAGGAGAGAAAGACAAGAGAGAGGGACTAAAGGGCGACTGTATGTCACCCAGTTTTTCACAAGAAAAGGTGGGTGTGGTCCATGAGTGGTGGAAATTAGTCTGTTAGCTAATGTTTTTTTGTTTACTAAGCTGACATTAAGTCAGTGGTTCTCAAACTTTTTCTGTCAGGCCCCCCCTTTGGAGAAAAAAAAAAGTCGGGCCCCCCCCAACACAAAGTCAGGCTCAGTGGCGGCGCCAGATATTTATTTTGGGGGTGCTGTGGGGTAGCTTGACGTTTCATAGAGGGTGCTCAAACATTTAGGGTTTCCCATTAATGTACCGGGCGCTACAGTGGCATTTTCTACTGCAACACACCTCACGCAAATACACAACGTATACCCGCAACTGTTACAATGAAGGCTCGATAATCAGCTCACGGCATATAGGTGTAAGCAGGGGTAAAGTGCTATTTTTATAGGTGGTGTGTGGACCTCACATAGGGGGGTCCAGGGGTAAGCTCCCCCGGGAAGATTTTTAAATATTGAAGTTAAAAGCATCAATCTGGTGCACTTTGAGAGCAAAATGAAGAGATCTGGATACATCTCTCAACACCCATTTGAAACAGAACTGTAAACAGATTTACTATTTCTTTATGGATATTTTACAAATCACCCTTTTAAACTTTATTATTTTTTTACTGTCATATAGTATTTCATACCTGTTTTTAATTTATTCTCTTATTTTTTTATAACTATAATGATCATATAAACGTGTGCCTCGGAAATAATTGTTTACATTAATGGTGACTAAAACGTTTGAGACCCACTGAGATAACACTGAGAGAGTCCTTTAGTTCACTGAGTCTCTCAGTCTGACAGGAGAGGACTCTCCTCCACTTTGTTGTTGAAACAACTCCTTATATCCGTTGGCGTAGCTCGCTAGCACCAGAAGCTAACAACAACGATCTCCGGTACCGGTGTGCTCTCTCTCTCTCGCTCGCGAACACAAAATGGCTCGTTCCACACACACACACAGAGCCGAGCTTTAATGAAACACAGAGACCCAGACGTAATAGTACTGTATCATATTATTTTCGAATCAATAATTTTTCAAAATATGAATTTTTTTTTAAATCTTTTTTTTAAATTTTTTTTTTAATAACCATTTTTCCTCCTGGTCTCTCCTCCCTGGGGGGGGGGCGCACCCCCCACTTTGAGAACCACTGCATTAAGTACTGTTAATATCTTTACAGAAAATTCAGAGGTCTTTAATTTCACTGCTCTTTTAGCTGATATTTAAAGGTTTGGTAGCTAATTCACTTCAGAAACACTTTTTGTTATATTCCATGGAATGCTCTTAACATCCCGATAGCAATGAATATATTAAATGCTTTGACAATAAATACATACAAAAATGTCATCTGTGGAAGGCGTGGCGCTGTAAAAAGCACGACCAATCATCTGAGCCGGCCCGGCAAAAATGACTGCATGACCTACCTGCCTGTCAGCCTTCCATCTGTGCACAAGCTTATCTCGTGCCCTCATTGGTCATGTGCACGTTCGTGTGTGTTGGAGGAGGGGCTCTGTAAGGAACTCTGAAGGAAGGGGCAGATTTTTTTCGGTTGTGTACTTTCAAATTCTAGCGCACTCAAGCTGGTTTCTCCATTCTTACCTCCCTACCTTTAATAAATGCAGGCACATTTTTAGCGCCTATTCATACTAAATCAGTTGTCCCTCCCCCTGGTGCCAGGTCCAACAGATCCATCTTTAGGCTCAGCAGCCCTGTCCCCCCATAAAGCTGAACCTGAACCAGCTTTTCTCCCAACTGAAGGAGGTGAGCAGCATTGTGTTGAATGACATGCCACTTAACATATCTGAAGGGAGACTGGAATACAATATATATATATATGTAAGGTAACAGTCTTGACAGGCCACTAGGTGTTGCTGTTGCGCAGCAAATTGTTGTTTTTTGTCCATTGTGGGACACCGTATTTCTCTTGTTGTTCTGGGTGCGGCCGCCATCTTGGCGCTAATGTTTGCATTCACTCCGCAAAAGGTGAGCAGTGTTAATGGTGGCAAATAATTGTACACATTATGTTAAAAACGTCCAATCATTCCATTTATTTAATTAATGGGTTAGTTTAAATGTTTATTTACCCGTTTGTGTATGTTTGGGAGTGAGATGTTTATGTTTTGTCTGTTCATTTGGTTATTGTATTGGTTAGCATGTAGCTAATGCGCTAATGTTTGCATTCACTCCGCAAAAGGTGTGTCAGAAGAGCTGCCATTGTGAAGAATAAATCGCTACTCAGCGTCTCCACCGCAATCCGATCTGCTGTGTCCTGTTTTCCACCCCTCTGCATAACATCCCATCACCAATAACAAACACAACGCAGAGTCCCATGGTGTTCAGAGAGGCTACGGGACATATATATATATATATCAGTGTGAGAAAAAGTTTTTAGAGAGTACTTGTCCATGGACAAGTGAGTTTGGAAATGTGCTTGTCCGAATACATTTTTCACTTGTCCATATCTATACTTTGTGCATGCATTGCTGCACCTATTTTAAATATGATTACATATCAACATAAAGCACACAAGAATCTAGGTTACTGTAGGAAACATTTTATTGTTTATTTGTTCATATTGTTCACAGTGTCTGGTTTCTGAACTTCTACCATCAAGGCACATCAAATGAATGACAGATATAAAATAATAAGATAAAACAACTAAGTACTAACAATATAATGTTTTCTCCTCTGTGGGACTAGTAGACATGCTAGCAGAAAGGTATGGCTTCAGGCTCAGGGTGGTTGTTCACTGCAGCTGTCTCCCGAACTGTGGGGCAGCACTCCAGTGGTTCTCCTCACACCGAGCTATGGGGCAACAGGCACAGGTAAGTTGCTGTTCACTGCAGCAGGCTTTGGGGCAGCTTTGACATACCTCTTGGTCTTAGCAGATGTTTTCCATTTCTGGATGGCTGGCTCTGGGTCAAACTCTGCCACTGTGGTGGTGATGTGGCTGACCCTCATGAGTGACCCCAGAGTTTCATTGGTCATCTGGGATTTTCTGGATGTTTTTATGAGGTTCATGAGGGAAAATCCACGCTCCACGGCAGCAGAGGAGGGAGAAAGGGTGACCATCATGTACACCAGAACCAGGACGTCCTTCACATCTGGGTGGTTCTCAGTGAGAAGGTCACTTATGACCTCCTTGGCGGGCTGCCTCTGCCTGTACTTCAGTCTGGCCTTGAGAGCTGGCCACTGTCTAGGGATGTTGGTTACCATCTGTTCACTCAGGCCTTTGGCCTCAACTAATATACAGTACTCAGCAACCTGTTCCTGTTTTTGTTTTCTTCAGCCTATGTCTCTTTATTATTACTTTTTGTTTTGTTACTTCCCATTGTAAAGCGTCCTTGGGTTTCGTGAAAGGCGCTATATAAATTGAAATTATTATTATTATTATTATTACCTCCTCCTCACTGAGAACGGACTTGAAGTGGGTCACCATGTTCATAACCTGAACATCACCATATGTAGCTAGTTGTGCGTCTGATCTTGGGACGTTCCTGGGGTCAAGAACATGGAAATCACTGAAAGGGGTATCCTTCAGGAAGGAAAATCTCTTCTCTAGGAACTTCACACAATTCTCCAAGAAGGAATTCTTCACTGTTTCTGGAATACCTGTTCCTTTCAGTGAAGTGATGTGTCCATTGCTCTTACTGTCAAACTTGCCATCCTTGCAGGTTGCCATGTAGGCAGTGTAGACATCACCTCTATTATGCTTAAGGCCTTCCAACTTGATCCTGGCCTCACACAACTTTACATCAACATCATAAATGAACAGATCATTACTCTGGAATGCCAGACTCACGTTGGCCAACACTTCCAAGACATCTACCATAAAGTGGAGCCCATCAACAAACTTTGCAGACTTCAGTACCTTCAAGTACCCCACACACTTAGCTCCTTCGTCTGTTTTTCTGTTTGAAGCCTCTTCCATGTGTAGGATGACGGAGTTGTAATTTTTTATTACAGCCTTGTATGCCCGGAGTCTTGACGCCATCCACCTAGTGCCACAGGGTGCTGAGAAATAGACAGGATCCTCGTCTATAACGGCTGATATGGCGTTCACCTCCCTCCTACGTTTACCAGATCCATAGTAGAATCTGTAGATGGGGTCCACTCCTTTCTCTACGATGTCAATGAAGTCAGTGGCTTTGGTGGCATCTAGGAGCGACAGCTCCAGCTTATGTGGAGCACACCAAATCGAAATGAGCACATGCCCCAACAATTCCCGCAACTTCACAATAACTCCTCCCTTGGCACCTTGGTTAACGCTGGCACCATCAAATGTGCAGCCTATTATTTTCTTCTTTATGTCTCCATCTGTTAGGTCGACATGATGTAGTGCCTCGAGGAGAGCTGCCAGAACACCATTAGCATCAGCTGACTTTACAGCCATGATGTCAATGAACTCTGTCGCTGGAAGTCCATCTTTGACATACCTGAAGATAGAAAATAAATAAAGTACATCAATAAAGTGCAATAACATTTTTTTAAATGATTATCTTATATAAACCTTCCCACACCAGTGTTGCCTTCACCTTTTTTTTAAGACTAAGAACACTAAAAAGCAACTTCACCTTCATTCGCTTTAAACAATTTATGTATATACTTTACCTGTTAAAAACTTTTAAGTTAACTGAAAATGTAAACTAATAAAATTCATCAATAAAATGATTGTGAATTAATTACTCATAAACAAAAGGCCCTTTTGGAGATAAAATGTAACTTAAATAAGACTTACAAAATAATTCAAAATAATAATTACCTAACATATACATTCTCCTGTTCTGTCACAGATATATCCGTGGATCCATCTCCCATCAGAGCGAAGAATCTTGAAGCCTTGAGGTCTTCAGAAACTCTGTCCTTCTCGACTTCTGCAATGGCCTGCACAAATGCCTTGCACCCCTTATCGTTCCGGTACTGTGTAGGCATTTTAATGCCATTCTTCTCTTGAAGTTCGATGAGGCCCTCAAATGAACGGAAAGGCAACTTTTGTTTGGCGACATAAAACGCAGTGTTGAACATGGGTTTCAGTTGGTCGTCCATATTTTCTGCCTGCTTCTTGAGAGCCACAAACATTGGCCCTGTGCCTTTCTCTGTGACCTCTTTCCTTTGAATGCAGAGAAGGTGATATTTGCTGGATTCGTGTGACTGAAGTGTCTCAATGCGTTTTGACCCTGTGACACCCTCGTACAGTTTACTGCTGTGGTCAGCAATGGATGGATATTCTCTGCAGACCTCACAGAACATGATGTCGTCCACACATCTTACCCATGGAAACTGGGTTTTCCAAGTCTCAATGAATGTTCTTTTCCTCTTGGGTGTCAGGGCGATGTCACTCTTGGCCTTTTTAGATGGACCAGCCATTGGTGAGATAACGGAACATGGCCTTTTAGCAGAGACTTTCTCGTGACTGGGGGGGCCATCGTTCTGCTCACACTCTGGGACTTTCTGAGGGCTCGTTTCAGCATGTTCAGGCTGTTGTTCAGACTCCTGTTCTTGCAGACAAATTATAGATTTTTGTCAACATGAATGTTAGGTACTCGTAGACTCCCCACAAACCTTTCTGCATTTTTTGGGTTTTTTTTTCTGAAATAATTTGATATGCCCCTTTCAAGCCCCTTGGTACATAAAGAGCCCCTTTCAATCCCCCCCTTTTAAAAGAAAAAAGTATTTTACATAGGTCTACCCCTTTTTTATTATTATTTTTATTAATTTCTTATTTAATAGTTTTTCATTATTTTTATTTTTATCTTCGATTTTATTTTTGATTTGATGAACCTGTGTGAATCTGTGCTGTCCTGTTTTTCACCCTTACCCTGTTGCCTACTGAATTTCCCCACAGGGATTGTAAATCGCTTTGGATAAAAGTGTCAGCTAAATGCAATGTAATGTAATGGATTAATAAAAGTCCCCTTTCAAGCACTTAATCCACTATTTTCGGACATAATTTATTTAAATTATTTTCCTTGTTAATGTAACACACCATTTTACAACTGTGAGAATGATGTGTACAAACCTTCTTAGAAAAGAAAGAAATCTTTTGTTTCCCTCTTGGGGCCACTAGAACCTTCTTCTTCGCCATCGTATTTCATTTTCACACAGTTTTACGACACGACGTAAGTGAGTAAAAAAACGTAAAGCGGTTGCAAACAACAACGGCGGACACGGACAATTTGCGAATGAGTTATGCCTTTTGTAAGCTGAATTTATCAATAATTTGTCAATAAATAGCGGCGAAAAATGTCACTTGTCCATTGGACAAGTCAATTTAAAAATCTACTTGTCCAATGTTGTGAATAACCCGTCCCGGACGGTGGGACGTGCACTTTTTCGCACACTGTATATATATAACAAAAAGCTAACATCTAATTTAAATTATACATTTCAAACACAGTATTTTCCCACTTAGCCAATGATCTATATAAAACAAAAAACTGCTTTTAGTCTATTTAGGATGATGGACAGTTTGAAGCATTGAGTGATCAGTCTGTAAACAAAATGTTAATCACAGACATTTTGGTTATGATATTAATACTAATGTTATTATATTAAAGCAGGGGTGGGGAACCTCCGGCCCCCGGGCCGTATACGGACCGCTAGACCATTTGGTACGGCCCTCGAGGTAATTTATAAACAAAGTGGCCTGTGCCTGGTGGTGGGGCCCAATGTGATATATTTTCATGGGGCCCAAAATCCCTGGCGGCGCCCCTGGCCGGACTGGTTCAATGTTTATTGTGAAACTTATTGAAATGAACTTATTGCACATATTAAACCTGGGACTAACAAAGCTTAAATTATTACCTATAAAAACAACATTAAACATTAATCAGTTGCATTAATTTCTTATGGCTCTATCTGCAGCTTTTCCGGAGTCACTTCTTATAATTACATTTTTCCACAGGCCAACAACAGCTTCAAAAAAACTATTTTCCTCAAAGAAAAAAACAAACATGCCCTGTTGTCGCAAGAAAGAAAGTGCAAAAGGAAACATCCATTGAAACTCAGTGTGCTGCTCTGTGATGCAAGTTCAAGCCAGATACTTGGCATCTCATCTTGGGTGCAAGTTCATCAATGTTTGGGGTCAGGCTCTGAGCTGAGGAAACCCTCAGGATTGAGTGAAGGTGTGCGTGCAATATAGCGGGCCAGATCTAATAGTAATTAAAAATTATCCTGCGGGCAGGGGCGGCGCCAGGGGGGAGCTAGGGGGTGCTGAAGCATCCCCCAGGATTGCCAAAGCACCCCCTAAGGCTAGAGGGAAAGCTAACGACTGGGCCTGAAACTCTGATTGTGGGTGACTCTGCTGTAAGAGATGTAAAAGGTCTGTGTAATAAGAACAACACCAAAGTACTCTGTTTTCCCAAGGATGTGGTCTCTGACTTGGCTGAGAAGATCCTGCATATTGGGGCTGAACATCCGACTGTGAAGAATGTGGTACTACACATTGGAACAAATGATGTTGTGAAACAACAGTCAGAAGTGCTGAAAGAAGACTTTAAATGTTTGTTGTAAACTGCCAGCTCTCTAAATGCAGAGGTGTTCATCAGTGGCCCTCTACCGCCAGTCAGAAGAGGAGTGGAGAGATTCAGCAGATTGTTTGCACTGAACACCTGGCTTTCAACTGTCTGTACTGACCATTCTGTTCATTTTATTGACAATTTTAACTTTTTCTGGGATCGCAGACATCTTTTCAAGGCAAATGGAGTTTGCCTGAACAAGTCAGGAGTGAAATTGTTTATCTCTAACATATTCAACTGCCTGCGTTATCAATCTGTTCCCTCTGCCAAGTACAAGCGGCAAGAGGAATCAAAACAGGAGAAAGACACAACACATCGCGCAGAAAACCCTGAAGAATTATTACTGCACCCGCCTGAGGAATGTTCTGATTATGGGAGACACATGCAGGAGTCTCCACTGCCCGTCACCCCTCCCCCCTGTCAACGCCTTTGAGGATACTCCGTTCACCCTTTCACCCTCGCCCACCCTCCTGGGGATCGTTGAACACATGAAGGAGATACAGAGGGTTGGCACCGATTCCTTCCTGGAGTTCAAAGACCAAACTAAGGCGATACGCAGGGCTGGCACCATGTCCTTTACCCCCGCTCCTCAACGACGCCCACCAAAATCACCGCAGAGACGTGCACCATCTCCCCCGTCTTCATCACCGTGCCTACGTCAACCACCTCCCCCCCTGGCAGCATGTCCTCTACCCCCGCACCATCTCCCACGTCTCCATCACCGTGCCTGCGTCGGCCGCCTCCCCTCCCTTCGAGAGGGCATCTGCAGTCTCCGAAGCCTGATAAGGATGTGTGTGTACAACACGCTGCAAACTGATATTTGCTGGGTCCAGGCTCAAGGGCGTATGGCACTCTCAACTCTTTCCAGGACATGCCAGGGCCCTGCCTGCCTATAGCTTTGCCGATATCTGTTGATAGGTAATAGATTAAGAGCGGTGAATCATCTTAGAAACAGGAAGCGCTCAAACGTTTGTGTGAGTTTATCTAATTTAGCAGTGATTCCATGTCAGCCACAGCTTGTTACAAAAAACATGACTGATAGTGTGTTTAACAAACTTAAACTAGCTTTATTAAATGTCAGGTCTTTGGCAGGAAAAACATTTTTAATCAATGATTTTATCACTGAGCACAATCTCGATTTTATGTTTTTAACAGAAACTTGGATTGAACAAAATAACAGTGCAGCTGTTCTTATCGAATCAACCCCTCCCAACTTTAGTTTTATGAGTCAGGAAAGAATGCATAAGAAAGGGGGTGGAGTTGCTATTCTGTTCAATGATTCCCTTCAATGCAGGAAGACATCGTATGGAAACTTTGATTCTTTTGAATATGTGGCCCTTCAGCTGAAATGCTCCTCTCGAGCTCTGTTCCTAAATATCTATAGACCACCCAAATACTGTGCAAGCTTTTTTGATGACTTTACTGAACTGCTGTCTATAGTGTGTATTGACTTTGACCGTCTAGTCATTGTTGGTGATTTTAACATCCATGTTGACAACCCCCAGGACAGAGGGGCAAAATAACTGTTTTGTGTTCTTGATAGCTATGGACTGACTCAGCATGTGACGGAGCCCACGCACAATAAGGGGCACACTCTGGACTTAATTATCTCAAAGGGTCTGAATATCTCTAAGGTTGTGGTGACTGATGTTGCACTCTCTGACCATTCCTGTGTTTTCTTTGAGAGCTCTATTTCTGTTCACAAAAATGTTCAAAAAGAGGTAACCACAAAGCGATATTTAACTGAAAATACTAGGGAAATGTTTACTCAGAATTTTTCTTCCACACTTGCCCCTGCTAACATCTCAGTAAATGAGCTAGTAGATCATTTTAATTCAAAAATTAAAAATGTTATAGATGCCATTGCTCCAACTAAGGTAAAGGAAGTGTCTGGCAATAAAATATCTCCATGGAGAAAGGCCATGAGCGTGAAAACAGAAAAAAAACAAATCTCCAGGTTCACTTTTAAATCTATAAAGAGAGACTTGGCCTTTATAATTTGGAATTGAAAAACGCACGACAATCGTTCTTCTCTGACATCATTACCAAAAACAAAAACAACGCACGTGCCTTGTTAGCTACCGTCGACAGACTAACTAACCCCCCAGTGTCAGTAGCCTCTGAATTTCTATCCACCAGGGCGTGCAATGATTTTGCCTCCTTTTTCACTGACAAAATTCAGAAAATCAGACAAGCAGTCAGTGCCTCTGCATCAGGAACAGCAAATGTGTTGTCTCTGTGTCCACCTAACATCAATTCAAACACCATGACACAATTCCATCAGATTAATGATAAAAACCTAGAGGACATTTTGCAACTTCTGAAATCCTCCTCCTGCTGCCTTGATATTATTCCAACAGGGTTTTTCAAATATGTTTTGCCTTGCATGGCCTCAGATCTACTTCATATAGTAAACAAATCTCTTCACCAGGGTGGGAATTTCACGACGGCCACGTGACCGTCGTTGCCCCGCACTTTGGCCGTGATTTCCTGTGAAAAAAAATGCAATTCACGGCCAAAGTGGCCTTTGTGCCCCTGTCAAAAGTTCCAGTGTAAACAACGCTAGTGAAGTCATACTAGTGCGCGCAGTAGGATAGTCCCATGTCTGTGGATCAGAGCGATTGCTCTGCTGTGATTGTTCCATCAGACATGCCGTGTAAACAATTCTAGTAAAGTCATATTAGTGCGCGCAGTAGAGATAGTCCCGTGTCTGTGGATCAGAGCGATTGCTCTGCTGTGATTGTTCCGTCAGAAATGCCTGTAGGGGCCCGACAGCCTCCTCCTCAGCCGCGGGAGCAAGACAAGCACAGGTAAGCAAGCGGACCAAGCTGTTTGGATATGATTTAACTGAAGTATGTGGTAGTATTTGAAAGGACTTAACATTTACGTGTTTATAGAAAGTACTATTGATAGGTAATTACCATTGTATTAGCCTATTTAAAGTCGACTCGTTACATTTTGTCATGAAAACTAGCGATAGCTAGCTAGTTTGGATAGCACTAACGTCTTCCCTTCAAGGGGTCTACATCTAGTGTTGCTTCTGAATCTACAAGCTAGCAGATAGCTGTCACCTTTGAATCTAGTATGTTTCTTGCTAAGCGGTTTTGATATAATACATGAATGACTTATGTGGTTTATGGCTGAACTTAACGTATACGTTTAAGAAACACTATTGCTAATCAGCCATTTGTAAAACGACTGGTGTTGACGTTAGTGCTACACTTTTCAGTCATGTTGATTGACCAGCGTAATTTAACCAAACGGCCTTTGTGCCCTGTCATGTGGCCTTTGTGCCCTTAAAAAAAATGTGAACGGGAAGCGTCTATCGTTATTCCAAACCAGTTTAGATTTTGCTTCCGCATTACGCAAGAACGTAGCTCTACGCGATAGCGTCATATCCTTCTTCTTCGGCTGTTATAGCAACCTGG